AAAAATACAATAAAACCAAATACATACATAAATAATAATATCTTCCAAGATTCTGGTGATCGAAAAGATATTAACATATGGGAGTATCTTTAAGGTGCTGGCCACCCCCAGGGTTGGTTGCCCCTTTTCTAGTTACCACCTTTTAAGTCTTCCAGGTATAGGGCCTGGTTATTTGAGGGAACACCTATCTCCTGTAGTCCCTGCCCATCCCATAACGTCTGACAGAGTTGGCATTTTCATCAATTAAGCAATGTTGCCTGGTGGGACCCAACAAGGGGGCTTTCTCTGTCATGGCGTTGCTGGAACACTATCCCACCTGAGATACATATGACCCCTACCTTGGCCCTGTTTAAATGAGCCCTTAAAATCTGGCTCTATTCCCAGGTCATGAGTTAGAATTGTTGGTAAACCCCTCGTAGGGCATTTTGGTTGTTTGATTGTTGATTTTCTCCAAGTTCCTTTTGGATTATATATCCTGCATCTTTATTGTTTTTACTGTTGTGTATTGTAAATTGTGCATTAATGATACAGTACATAACTGTCCTGTAAGAGTCAGCAGTTCATAAAATCTTCACAAGATGCACCAGTCAACTTAATTTTTGGCTAATCCATGAAGTATCTTTGTATAATGGCTCCATTTACAAATTCCATTACAAAACAGCTCTTTTCAGTGATGTATTACTCAAAGTGTGTCTATGTGTATGCGTCCATGTGCATGCCACCAATCAGTGGTTTTCTCCCCTATATTCTGTACAGGAATGAGACATATCTACAGTTTTTTCTACCAAATGCTTTATTGATTTTTTATGAAGGAAAGTAATCCAGTGCCCTGAATACTACTTTTTAATGAATAAACTGACTAATTCTCTGAAGTTCACTGGACCTTCAAAAATCCAAGCTCTTTAAAAAACAAATGAATTAAACTCATAGCCAGACGAACTTAACATTAATCACTAGGTTATAAAGATATGGTATTATACAAAGCTACTTATTTTATTGAAGGGAATGATAAATCTCACCCTTCAGACAATTTTTTTATGTTCTCATAGGTAGCTACATATGGGGAACCAGACTATATGCACTATTCTTTAAAGTTATTAAAATCACAAAACTCACTCCAAAATATCAATTTTTAAAATTAAGTAGATTTCCAAAAGACAAAGCAACAGAAAAATATAAGATACATACATACTACAAATCTCTTCTAATAAGCCATTTGTTTTTTAACCACTTAATATCAAGTTCATTCTGAAAAACGTTAGGACGAATAGGTTGACAAATGGTAATTAAGTGAGGACTTTCTGTAAATCTATTCATATACCTATATTTATTATTTATTTATTTATTTACTAATCAAATCCATATGGTTGCCCATCTCACAAAATACTGACTATTTAAATATATAAACTGAATCCAAGGCAAAGTTCGGAAACCAAAAACTCTTTTGATGAAGGCAAAAAAAATGTTTTGGTTTCCAAACTTTGCCTTGAATTCCATTTACATATCTCAATAGTAAGGGTCTAAATTGGTCCAAGCTATACTGGGCTGTTTTATAAGTTGCTAATTGAAGGGCTAAAACTGAATCTTATGGTCAGTGAATACCATTTTGTTAGAACCTCTAGGATATCATGCTAAATTTTTTTTTAATGTGACATGAATGAACTTTCAATTATTATTGAACAGGTTGGTTTTGATTTTAAAGTATTTTGGGATGGGAAACTTAAAGGACTGTACTCTTGCCTGCCCCTTTTATTAAGTTCCTTTGGAACTGCTCTCTGTAAATATCTAAGCTAAGACTACACATGTTTTTTCTGACTTGCCCAGATTTTGCCACTCCTTTCCCCCTCTTCATCTTGTCTTTTCTGATAGCTTCAAAAGTTCATAATTGAAGACTTATTTCTGTACTCCAGCTGCACTTCAGCTGCTGAGTTGTTGATGGTTCTTCCTGTAGAGTTAGCAGCTTCTGATTTTTCTTCTGTCATCTTCTACTTTTGACTTTTTATATTCCTTCATTTAATTATTTCTCTCAAATGTTTTAATCATTTGATAAACTGCCTTAAGGCTTTTTTAACTGAGAAGCAGAGTGTACACATTTTACAATAAACAAAATTAACTGATAAAATAGGCTCATAAACAAAAGTCTCAAAGAAGAAAAAAGAGGTGGTGGGGAACCAAATGTCATGTCATAAACAAACACATACCTTCATTTTATATATTCTGGGGGAGAAAACACTTATCTTTTTGTGTGTGTGAACACTATCTCTTGATAAAAGCAGGTTCTTTCAGTATGGCAGTGATCTGAGTCAGTATAAATTTGAGACCTCACTGGTCTACATCTCTCCTGAAATATCAGTGTCAGATGTTTTCTTTAAAGAAGGAAGGAGAACCAGGAAGACATCCTGTGCTTTAAAAAGCCAAGACAATAACTTGAACTATTTTCTTCAACAAAGAGAAAAATTATATGGTTATACTACCACTTAGTAGGTAAGAATATAAAAAGATCAAGATTGCTTACTACAAAGCATCTGAGCTATAATAATTCAAGTTAGGAATACATGCTGAACACACACCTCTCCTTTCCTGAATCAGTCCCTTCTTTCTTTAAGCCCTTACTAAGACTACCTCAAGATTCGTGTTCAATGATTAATAGCTCCTTTTCTCCAATGACTGAAATATGCAAATTTGTAAGCCCTGCTTCTGAAGGAATCTGTGTTTTGCTTATGGCATCTAGTATACCATCATCCTGACTCAGAATGACTTAATTCATACTTTTCCTTTATCCTAGCAAAACCACTGCAATGTATTCCTGCAAGGTTCTATTTTTCCCATTCCATTATATTTATAACTCCATCTAACATTTATGCATTCCTTCAGAGGTCTAACCATCTCCCAAAGTAATGTAAGAAAGGTTCAGCAAGCCTGGCTCAATTCAGACAGGTAATCAAAACACGATATAACAGTAGCCATGGATTAACATCCAAATTAAAGTTCGAGTTTTCCAAAAGGTAATGTTAAGCTTTTCATTTACTTTCATTTTCTATATGCTTGGTACTCCAATGTCTGATAGAATATACTAGCATTAATGAACAGACTAGACCAAATATACATTAAGGAGATGCTCTTTTCAATGTGAACTTCTGAACTCTCAGAGATGAAGCCAATACACCATACTGAGGACATCACTGCTGTATCAATTACAATTGGCAAATATACATGTATTGTATTTTTACATTTTTCTTTCTATATATTTATTTGGATTAGATTGACAGGGATGAATTTATGCACTTTCATTGGATTCACCTTTTTATATATTAGAGATAGTAACAGAATTGTTGGTGTGACTACATGCAATGATTAACACTTTTAATTAACTTTTTCTCTACTTAAAACTTTCATTCTGCCACTTAACAATTTGGGATCTTTATCATGTATTCTTTCTGGTAGTTTCCTAGTGATAAGATGAATTATTATTTTTCTTCAAAGAACACACGCATGACTGAGTCCCTTACCATTTCCTTGTTTCTTGGTTGGATACAGGTATGCATCTCAGGCCAGCCCCTGCCACCATGAGAAAGGATGTTAGCAACACAGTTTCCCTGAGGCCTGTAGGGAAAAGAAAAGTAGACACTGTTTTAGCAAAACATGGCAACCTTGGAAATATCATTCCTTTTGGTAAAGTACTTAGATTAGTACCTAATTCAAAATCTATATTAAACAGCACAAACAATTATTTCAGCACTGGACTACATGGTGTCATGTAGTCACAGGAGCATATCTCCACTTGTACAACTGGAATGTTTTCATCCTGCTCCAAATCTGCTTTAGAAAATCCTTAGCCTCAGGAGAAGATCTGCAGCAAACAGAGAAGTTTGTAGGTTAAAAGTCCAACCCAGAAGCAGATAGATGTTAGGAATACTACCTAGTGTTAATACTGGGCTATTTATCTTTGTTAGTTCAAAATTCAATTATAAGCAATTTGAGAGGACAATCTGTAGCATATACTGAAAGATGTTTTACTGCATCTGAACTATTAGCTAATGTCCTAATTCAGAGCTGCCCTTTATAAAAGGACTTTGCCTCACTTTGAAGGAAGCAGCTGCACTACATAGGCGTTTTCTATATAAATAACTAATAGCTATGGCCAGATAGAAAGCCATAGTGAGAAAAGCAAAATCCAAGTGTATATTTAAGCTCTCATAATTAACTTTGAGGGAGAGATCAGGAGAGGTATATTCAATTGTCTAACCTAAATTATAATATTTTTCAGAATTAATTTCCAAAGAGGACACATGAATACATTTGTTTCATTTCCTGAAAGAGTTAAATTTTTGTACTTTCTTGTTTTCAAAGCGAAGCTTTAACTCTAAATCCAAAATAACAATTATAATTTATTCAGTTAAATTGCTTATTTTCCAGTCCTACAAAGCAACGATTGTTATGTTTGAATCCATTTGCCAGATGTTATACCTACCATTTTAAAAATTTTATATTACTTAATGTTTTTTCTGCATATATAAGACTGAAAAATGATCCAATACAATACTGTAAACACTTTCCTTAAGACTGATATTTTATTTTAATAAATATATTTTTGCTGATCTTGAAATCTGCTATGTACAGCCTTAACTCAATTTTTTTCTCTAATTTCAACAGATTCTTGAATCAATATATGATTGAACATTGTCGCTTCATTTTCTTTCTGTCCATAATAACTGCTTTCAATGCATTAAATAAAAATAAACTTCAGCATCCCCAAATTTGATTCAATTCGGGAACCAGAAAGTTCAAATTAGTTAAATATAATACTATTAATAAATTCCCTGTGACTAAGATAGCAAAAAGAGAGCCTTTCATCATAATTAAGGCCAAAATAGTGCTAGACCTTTCACACTTTTGCCAAGCAAGAGGGCATGTGGGAAATATCCTACACCTGTGTTATCTCCAGCAACTGGTGGTTAGACTTATTGTCTCCAGTTCTGAAGATAAGATATTATCAACATGGTTAGTAGCCACATTGAGCCTCATCCTCTATGTATTTTGTCTACTTTCCTTTTAAAGGAGTGAAAATTGGTGATCATGACACAAGCATGTATTACTGAATTCCATGACAAAATTATGTTCTGCCCAAATAATGCTGGAAAGGCACGCATATAGCAGGAACTCTAGAAGATACATAGTGGAACTACTGGCATTGAGTGCAGACCCACATTGCACTCCAAAAGAACATAAGGAGAGCCCTGCTGGATTATGTCAACATCCATTTTAAACCAGCATTTGGTTTCCCACAATGACGAACCAGATGCCTCTGGAAAGCATGCAAGCAGAACATGAAGGCATACCTCTCTCCAACCATCAGCCATTGTTCCCTTGCTACTGGTAGTTGAAGGAATGCCACCCCCTACTTGGTGGTATCATTGAGTCCAATAACAGCCCTTAAGAGACCCTTCTATATTCTTGTGGATTAGATAAATGCCCTTTGAAACCCATTCAACTCAGTGATCATCACCGCATCCTGTGGCAATGAATTTTATTAGTTAATTATGTGCTATATGAAGAAGTATTGCTTTTATCTCTTCTATATCTCCTCCCAATCAGTTTTATTGGATGATCCCTAGTCCTAGCGTTTTGAAAAGGGAGGGAGGGGAATTTGTCTTCATTTTCTCCAAACTATGTATGATTTTATACTCAAATATGTCCTCTCTTATTTTCCTTTTTTCTATGCTAAATGGTCCTCAAAATTCTAGCATTTTCTCACAGGGAAGGTGTTCGAATCATTTTTCTTGCCCTCATCTGCACTTTTCCCAGCCCCAGCTACTTTTTCAAAAGTAGCAACCAGAACTATACACACTATTCCAGATGTTGGGGATGTTAACCTAATGTGCATCTATTTACACTTACTTCAGCTAACCACAATCATTATTTGCTTGACCAACTTTATTCATCAACTTTTGAGAGCTCTTAGCAATCATTTTTGGCTTACCACCTGGAATAAATTGGTAGTGTGTACAAACCTGGCCAACTCATTGCTTATCCCTAAGCCAAGATCATGTATACAAGTTGAAAAGTACTGGTCCCAACACAAATCCTTGAGGACAACCAGTCCTCAATACTTCCCTCCACTGAGGAAAATCCCTGTTTATTTCTACTCTGTTTTCTCTTTTAACAGTTAGCAATCTATAAAAGGACAAATAATCTAAAAGAGGAGCTTTTGATTAGGAACTCTGTCAAAGGCTTTTAGAAAATACAAGTATATAGTGATGACCAAGTCACCTCCATACACATGCCTCCTGACACTCATGTTCCTGTATGTGCTTAGTGACTTGTTTCTTTGATTATCATGTCTACTAATTTGCCTGGAACAGACATTAAGCTAACTAGTCCGGGATTTTTGTAGATCTCCCCAAAACCCTTTCTAAAATTAGTGTCATGTTGTCTGCTTTCCGGTCCTCTGGCACTGATTCTGATTTGAGGGCCATTATTTTGTTTGGAAATAGGCACTTTCATATAGCATCAGGACCTGGTGATTTGTTGCCATCCTCTAGAATATCCTGCATTGTGAACTCAATTTGCTTTAGCTGTTTTATCTCTCTCACTCACCCCCCACCCTCAAAAATCAAACCCAGATCAGGTTATCTGTCCTATTCTTCTGTAGTAAAGAAAGATGGGGGGGGGGGGGGGTATTCGTTTTTCTTCGATTTCCATTTTTTTTTTTTTTTTT